ATCCCTGTTGTATTCACTAGAGTATTGGCGGAAGGCATCTTCGTTACTAATGCGTTTACGTTTTATAACGGAGTATCGCCATATCAGGCACACACAGGACGTCAGCCCTCTTTCCTCCCTGATCTCGATACCCTTGACTTTCCCAAGGGACCCGAGACTTCAGGACACGAACGAGAACGTCGTGTAAGGGAAGTCAGCCTAGAAGCTATAACTCAGGCTACTGCTGTGGCCAAGACAAATCGGGCTCTTAGGGCTAAGACGACTCCTGATGGTGCTCGCCTCTACTCATCAGGGGATATGGTCGATTACCACCGACCTACTGCCACCAAGGACGACCATGGAGGTTGGAATGGCCCATTCCAGGTGCTCCGTAATGTACCTGAAAGAGGACATATTGTTGTCAAGGCAGGATCTCGTGAGGTAATTGTGATGTATCCTGATGCTCGTCACACACTATACATTGAATGTCTCCTCACACGGGAACTTGGCATGGATAGTATGGCCATGCAAACCGTCCTTGCTTATGTGGCACACCTCAGCGCAGGGAAACCTGCCAAAGTTTCCGGTTATATCCCCGATTACAAGGGAAACCTTAATCTGTCAGACGACAGCAAGTTCCACCCGCGCGTGCACTTAGCACTACAGTATCTCGTACAAAATTACTTCCGAGTAGAACATGTTGTAGCAGTTCGACTGGCTAAGAGTGTGTCAAGTCTACCTGCAGTAAAGTACGCCACCGGGTCTACGCTGATCCACTATGACAACGACATCAGCCCGGCGTTCCACTATTACGAATGTGTGGGCACCGGCTTAAACATTTCTCAGATCACTGGTAGCACTCACTCCAGACTTATTCAATGCTTGACTTCACGTGTCCCTTCCTTAGGATTTCACGACGATTTGGTTAAATATCAGCATTCAAGCAACACGTCTGGAGAACACGATTCGCCTGGAAACAGGCCTTCTCCAGACAAACCAGATGCTTCATCGCCGAGTGAAGGCCGCCTGTCGACAATCTATGAGGAGAATGAGGAACACAATATCGAAGCTATGATGCTGGAAGAGTGGTACGACGAGCTACGTATGGACCTTCATCCTACGACGATTACCGATGGTTATCTCTATTGCGTCCCAACAACTATGCTGCCCGACCAATGTGTTTTGGTTTCAGCATTTGTGGACGAGGATGATACTATATCATCAGATATGCTCGGAGACGAGCCGAAATCACGTGAGTCCTGTCTAGTCTCTCTTTGTTCAACCACAACCGACGAGAGCTACTCTCTTGACAGTGATGAATATGGTCTTTACGTTGAATTATGCTTTACATCAGAAATGTCAAAAATAGTGTTGGATCAGACTCAATTTGCACAGCTCGATACCGATATGGTCGCAACGATGAGAGTATATGTATCCTCTGCTGCTAAACGTGCTGTGGTTGTCAAAGAAGACGATCTACTGACCAAAGCCGACATAGCAGCACATCCAAAGGAGGTTAGTGAAGCTTTGTATACTGAGCTCAAAATCTGGATTGATAACCGATGCTTTGAGATGTATGATTTATCCAAAGCTTCCAACATCATGACATCCAGGTATGTATACAATTGGAAGTTCGTAAAGATGGGTACCGAGAACGTTAAAACCACTCGTCTCAGACTGGTCCTTCGTGGATTTATGGATACTGAGGCTTTTGATGTGGAAACATTCTCGGGAACCGCCCGAAGGCAGTCCCAACGACTCCTGGCAAGTGAAGCGGCATGCCATCCAGAGTGGATCTTAGCATCCATGGATATCGATAAGGCGTTCCTCAAGGGTTTGACCTATGAGGAACTTGCCCATGCCACCGGCGAGGAAACTCGCATGGTTTGCTTTACTCTTCCACCAGGAAGTGCTCAGGTACTTCGTACATTACCCGGCTTCTCATCCTACGACGAAAGTCGACACTGTCTTAGATGCCTCAAACCAGGAACGGGTACAAAGGACGCTCCAAGAGCGTTCTCTCTCAAACTTCGTACGACCACACGAGCTATAGGACTTACACCGACCAGCTACGATCCTGAATTTGAATTCAGCCAAGACCTGCTGACGGCAAAACATGTCGATGATATTAACATGACAGGTCTAGAGAAAAATATAGACGACTATGTACAGCGTGTCGAAAAGGTGTTTGGCAAATGCAAGCTCAACAAGCACACACATACGAACTGCGCCGTTCGCTACACTAAGAATGATCAAGGATATGTGATCATGGACCAGGACGAGTATATCAAACAACTACGTCCTATTACACACACAGAACTTACAGGAGCGGCGGCCGATGCCAAAGCCACGAAACTCATTACCGACATGTTCGTCAGCCTGCGAGGAAGGAGCCCTCGCCTATGCCCTTCTTACCCAAATCTGGCTCATGGTATACGTGGACTCTCTTCAGAAAATCCAAGAGCCCACCAATCTGCAAGTCAGACGTTTGAATGCTGTGACGCGAAAGCTGATCACCAGCCCGAAACGTATCACCTTCCCTCGGATGAAGCCGACGAATGAAGTTGACATCCATAGCGATTCGGGGTATCGGAAGCTTACCGGGGAGGAGGATGACGAGACCAAGGGCTACGGCATACGCGGGGCCAATGTACTACGGCGAGGAAACTCGCCTCAAGGCAAGTCCGTCGTTCACCTCTGTGACGGACTATGCAAATCACACCGATTACAGGTGAGGTCCAGTTATGCTGCGGAGGCACTTGCAGCCGCACATAACCTTGATGAGTGTTACCCTACGCTCATTACTCTCCACGAGCTTAAGGCAGGAGCTTTGACTCCACGACAACTACGAGACATGCGTGAAGTTGGAGGCCTAGCTATCAAAGTCTCTCTTACCATAGACGCCGAGTCCGTCTACAAATCTTTATCAAGCAGGGATCTCAAGATACCTACAGAACGGACTCTGCTTGGACGTATCAGCTGGATACGTGAGCTCATGGATATAGGTATAGTACACAATGTTCAACGGTGTGATACTAGGGATATGACCGCAGATGGGCATACAAAGGGAAGCATCGATCGGGAGCTGCTTCTGGAAGTGATGTCAGGCACTCAGTCATTTAAGTATGACGTGAAGCAATGTGTTCCCTTTCGGGGTCCCGAGGACAGAGACAAACCTAAGTCTAATCAATTTTAGTCTGTCCTTGTTGCCCTCGCGGTCCACTTTGCCAGCTCGGGCGCCTAGTATAAAGGCGCCCCTCTAGTTGCTCGGAAACGAGCCTTATGTGTCACGCCTGGCAATGAGCCAGCTTCGTACAACTCAGGCCCTTCGCCATAATACACATTTGCTTGGTGAGGTATGGCCTGTTTGGCTTACCTCTAACTGAGCCGATAGCCCTTCATTGTTTGAAGGGGCTGTCTTGTATTTGCGTGAAATACTTTGCGAGGAAACTCGCCTTGCAGTCTGGTGTTAGGCCAGACTGTACGCACTGTTTTCTTTTTTGCAAACAGTCGTGCGCGCGACCTTTGCGTGCGACTATGCTCTCCGTCTCCTCCCCTCCCGACTTTAAGGGTAGGTCTTTGGGAGATGTTACAGTATCGGGAGCATAGCTCGCGCGCGCCGTTGCCTTTGGCCCAAGGCACGCGCGCCCTATTTGCCCGGACACCGCGAGCGTTCGCTATGTGCTGGAAAGACCGATACATCGATCTTATCTTATCTTATCCGCCCATTCCTTCCTCATACTGTACTATCACAGCAGAGCGATGGACGCGATTTGCCATCCGATGTCTATCATGGAACCGGATGCTATTTGAGTTACCAGGCTCACTTTCGACTAAGGCGTCGTCGAGCTAGAGTTGAGCTCGCACCCTTTGCGGACAAGCCTAACGACATGGCCAAGCATCTGGGAGGAATGATCAGGGCGGACGGTTCTTTTTTCCACGGGGCTCGGGAAGAGGCTAGAGGCGGTTGATTCCGGATACGCTAGTATGGGTCGTTACTGGTATCAAAGCAACATCCCTTACGTTAAAAAGAGAGCGGTGTTCTTGAGCAAGGCACTGGGGCCCGTTGTCTCTGGGCTCGATTTTCACGTTTTTAACCCTTGCCCAAGTGGCCAAACTTCAGTCGCGCATCATCGTGCATGGGCGAAAAGCAATGAGGGGTGCTGCTACCTTTGAAGCGGGGGGTCATAAGCAGTCTATTCCGAATGAAGTTGTCTTTAAACACTGGCGAATCGGCCCTCTGGAACTTGAGCTGCGGTCTAGGCGCATCCGCTGGCATCAGCGCTGGGTCGAGGACCCAGAAGCGCACGTCTCTCAGTGGGGGGCTCTGCTCGGCACCGCGCGTGTGGGGGGGGGCAACAACCTGACCATCGTTGGCGAGGGTCAGAGGCTCACCGAAGCTGCTTGTCCATGGGCGCGTAGGTTTGCGTCAGACATATAGTCCTTAGCGGATGAAGATGACCAGGCGTGTTCCATGGTCCAGGACTTTAACAGCTCCCCGCTCAACCTTTTCCAGGACCCTGACATCGTTGACTGGTTCCTACGGTTTGCTGTCAAGCGTAGTAGGGCACGATGGTTAAGTGTTATAATTCCACCGCCGGGCCTCTCATCGGTGAGCACAGGTCATAACACGGTCCTGTCTTCTGGCTGGGGGCTTACTAACATTGGCACTCATGTTTGCGAAGTTCCGGGGCGTGAGCGGGCATTCAACACTATGAGACAGTTACCCGTCCATCTACGTAATCATCACGGGCTAAAGGCACTTCTTGCGAGGGCTGTCCTTATTAATCAGTGCTTGAACTGCGAGTCGGCATTCGAGTTTCGAATTTCGGCCCATCACCATGCATGCGATGTTTTCCAGGCAGGGGTTTGTTCAGCAGCGAGAAACTCGACCGCTCGTGAAATACACCAGCCAGATGCAACAACATGTCCTTTGTGCGAGTCCCAAATCTTGAACCTGAACACTTCGGCTTCCTGCGCCCACATCCGAAGCCACTTCGGCGCCCTCCCGCTTGTGCAGAATGGCGGCGGCAGCAGACACCCAGATGGCAGGGGCTCCGGCGCGGGCGCTGGCAGGACCCAGGCGCAAGGGCGGCGCGTCCGCAGAAGGCGAGAAGGAGGCCAAGAGCAAGAAGTTGGAGGCCATCGAGCAGGAGACCTTGAAGCTCCATGGCAATAAGGGCGGAGTACTGACGGCCCTCATTGCAGCGCTGGCTCGCCCTTCGCTGGCGAACTGAACTCTCGCGAACTCGCAGATCTGACGGGCGCCTGCTTCGCCTGCTGGATCGCCCCCATCGGCGCGGGCATGGTCGTCGCCACGAAGCAGGCGGGCAAGGCTTACTCGGAAGCCTGCAGGGAAGCAGGCAAGAACCAGAACTTCGGCAATCCGTGGCCACACATTTTCCTAGCGATGCTCAAGCACCTTGCCAATCTCGGCGCCCTGAGCGAGAAGCACTCGGCCACCCTCAAGCTGCACTGGAACCACCTGCTGGGGCAGCCCAGGGAAACGGCGATCACGCAGCTCCAGGACCCGGTGCGGCACTGCAGAGTCAGGGACTGCTGGCACGACAAGAAGAAGGAGGGTGCCGAGGCCACGCACTGCAAGGTGCAGCTCATGATGTCCCCCCATATGCAATCGGTGACCACCAAGCACCACAGTGCGGAGGGGGCGACAGTGAGCGACGCAGTCCAGGCGGCAATCCTCAAGGAGAACGGGGTCCTGAAGCCAGGATCAGCCCCGCGCGGGGCGCTCGAGAGGGGCGCGGAGAAACTCCTTCGCAAGCTCGGCATGACCTCCGACAGAATATCCAAGGCGAAGGGATCCCAGGACCTGGACGAAGACGAAGACGAAGTGGAGATGTGAGCCACCCCCCAGGAATGCGGCCTTCAGTTTTTACTTGTATAAACGGTTCTGAGAGGATGTGCCAACTTTTTAGACAGGGTACAGTGGGCGAGACAGCTTTGCTTAACCTACATAATAAGGTAGGTAAACCAATTCTTGAATATCGAGATGGAGACTTAGTTTTTCACGAGTACCCAGTCAGATGCAATGCGACCTGCAGCAGCTGCAGGCACGTGCACGCCAGGTACGCTCGCTCTCTATTGATATTGTCACTCTTGCTGCTTCCTCTCGGGCGTCTAGTGTTCTCATCGCACCTGCTCCTTTTTCACCCTGACCCCCCAGCCGAGAGGGCTGACGGACAGGAGGAATTATCATTAATGATTGTGCTGCTGAGGAGGCCTCACGACCCTTTTCAGCGCAGCGTCGCAAGGGACGGTGCTGCTAGTGGGCCCTCGGTTTCCGCCATTTCCGGGGCCCCACCGTCAGCCAGTGGTGTCCCCCAGCGGGGTTGCAAGGCAGGCTCTCCTTACAGTCGCACGGGCGTCACATATCCATGACGATTTGGATGTAGCATTGCAGCAAATTTGTTGCAGTTGCTAGACAGGGATCGTAAGTGTGTCGGGTCGAGTCTTCCTCCTCCCTCCTCCTCCTCCTCCTCCTCCTCCTCCTCCTCCTCCTCCTCCTCCTCCCCCGCCTCCTCCTCCTCCTTCCTCCTCCTCCTCCTCCTCCTCCTCCTCCTCCTCCTCCCTCCTCCTCCTCCTCCCTCCTCCTCCTCCCTCCCTCCTCCTCCCTCCTCCTCCTCCTCCTCCTCCTCCTCCTCTTCCTCCCCCTCATACTCCTCCCCCTCCTCCCACGATTGTCGTTTTCGCCGTCGTCCTCCTCATGCGGAGGAGCGAGGAGGATAACCAGGAAGATGTTTGTAAACGTTCGGGGGGCGCGTGTCCATATGTATCCTTTGTGAGCGTTCGAAAAGCTCGCCTATATCACATTTGACCACGATGATGCTGCAAGTTCTTGCGCAACGCTTCCTTTTTTCACGCGCTTCCCGTTCATGCCAGGAAAGGTTCCCAACATGAGCGTTTCGCTCGAGACATCCTCACAACACACAGATATTGGAGGTTTTCGTTTAAGACGTGTTATGTTAAAAAATAAGCGTTTCGCTCGAGACATCCTCGGAACATGGGGATGGTGAAATCGTTGGTCTAATTCGCGGACGTCCAAAAATGGGTGTGTCGCCTGAGACATGTTCGAAACAATTGGATGCGCAAAGAGCTCTTGTAAGGCATCTTTTCGGAGCGATCTCGGATGACCTCCAAGATGGCCCAAGACGCGAAAGTATTGAAAAACACATGGGTGTTTAACAGTTTTGTTCAAAACAAACCGTTTCGCCCGAGACATCCTCCAAAACTTACCTTCGGACGGGTCCCCGAAGGCGAAATTATTGAAAAACCGATGGGTTCTCAGCAGTTTTGTTAAAAACAAGACATTTCGCTCGAGACGTCCTCCAACAAGTTTTGAAGTCGAGCGGAAAGTGAACTCCACCTGATCTCTTTCGTGGATGTTCGGGGTAAAAGCAATGTGAATTCCATGTGGTATCTCTTGTGGACGTTCGGAGTGAGCGGCACGTCCGAGTTTGCGCGGATCGTGAACTCAATCTGGTTGTGTTTGCGGACGTTCGGGGTCAGCGGCACGCCTGAATTGGCGCGGATAGCGAAGTCCACTTGGTACCCCTTGTGGACGTCCGGGAAGAGCGCCTACGCGACATGCGAACTTGATGTTGGTGCACGTTCTTGCCAAGCTTTTTGATTTCACGCGCTTCCCGTTCATGTCAAGAAAGGTTCCCCAACACAGCGATGTCGCTCGAGATTTCCTCCGAAAATAGAGATGCTGGAGGATATCGGTTAAGACGTGGTCTGTTAAAAATGACTTTTTCGCCTGAGACATCCTCAGAACATCAGGATGCTGGAAAATGTCAGAGATTATGTTGCGCATGACATATGAGCGTTTCGCCCGAGACATCCTCGAACAAATGATATGTTGGAAAAGATTGTGGTACTACCTCTCATATAAAGAATGGCGCTCTCGCTAGGGACATCCTCGGAAAATCGGGAGGGGCGCGGCAGACCGAAAAAAGGAGCACGGCAGAAAATTGCCGTTTCGCTCGAGACATCCTCAAACAATCGATTCTGGAGCGGACTCCGAACCAGCATTATTCTGGAATCGCTCACGGAGGGCTTCAAAACGGCCCAAGAGAGCTTCCGAGGGCCCCCCAGGGGTCCCCCAAAGCGGCCATTGAGACCCGCAAGAGGCCCCCAAGAGGCACCCAGAGGGCCCCCAGAACGCCCGAAGAGGCCCCGAGATTGGCCAAGAGAGCCCCAAGACAGTCAAAGAGAACGCTCATACAGGCCAAGAGAGACCCCACAGACGCTCGAAACACGCCCGGACAGCCCCCCAAAACAATTAGGTGGTTAACATCGCATTGTAATGACTTGGGAGGGCATCAAGACGGTCCAAAAGGGCCCCAAACGAGCCCCAATATGACCCTCAGGATCGCCCTCGACATTGATATGTTCGTAACATCAAAGTTATAGAAAATACGCGTTAGCTCTTAGGGTGTGTTATGCCGTGTTCCTGGTCTTTTTCTGTTTTGCTCCTTCGCTCTTGGGGCTTCTTCTGCCGTGCTCCTTAGCTCTTGGGGTCTATTCTCCCGCGCTCCTGGTTTTTGTTCTGACGTGCTCCTTCGCTCATGGGGCCTATTCTGCCGTGCTCCTGTTTTTTTTCTGCCGTGCTCCTTCGCTCTTCGGGTATGCCGTGCTCCTGGTCTTTTTCTGCCGTGCTCCTGAGCTCTGGGGGTCTATTCTGCAGTGTTCATGGTCTTTTTCTGTCGTGCTCCTTCGCTCTTGGGGTCTAGTCTGCCGTGCTCATGGTTTTTTTCTGGCGTCGTTTTCGCTCCTGGGCCTATTATGTCGTAGGCCTTGGCTCTTCTGGCCTATTATGCCGGGCTTCGGTCTTGGCAGCTCTTCGGGCCTATTCTGCCGTGCTCCTTCGCTCTTCGGGCCTATTCTGCTGTGCTCCTGAGCTCTGGGGGCCTATTCTGCCGTGTTCCTCAGCTCTTGGGGTGTATGTTGCCGTGCTCCTGGTCTTTTTATGCCGTGCTCTTTAGCTCTTGGGGTTTGTTCTGCCGTGCTCCTGGTCTTCTTCTACCGTGCTCCTTCGCTCTTGGGGCCTATTCTGCCGTGTTCCTTCGCTCGTGGGGTCCAGTTTGCCGTGTTCCTGGTCTTTCTCTGGTTTGCTCTTTCGCTCTTGGGGCCTCTTCGGCCGTGCTCTTTGGCTCTTGGGGTCTGCTCTGCCGTGCTCCTGTTTTTTCTGCCTTGCTCCTTCGCTCTTGGGGTCTATTCTGCCGAGCTCCTTTCCTCTTCGGGCCTATTATGCCGTGCTCCTGATCTTGTTCTGCCGTGCTCCTTCGCTCTTCGGGTCTATTATGTTGTGCTCCTTCGCTCTTGGGGTCTATTCTGACGTGCTCCTGGTCTTGTTCTGCCGTGCTCCTGAGCTCTTGGGGCCGATTATGCCGTGCTCCTGGTCTTTTTCTGTCGTGCTCCTTCGCTCTTGGGGTCTATTATGCCCTGCCCCTTCACTCTTCGGGGCTATTATGCCGTGCTCCTGGTCTTGTTCTGTCGTACTCCTGGGCTCGTCTGGCCTCTTCTGCCGTGCTTCGGTCTTTGTCTGGCGTCTGTTTCGCTCTTGGGGTCTATTATGCCGTGCTCATGTGTTTTTCTTGCGTCTTTTTCGCTCTTGGGACCTATTCGGCCGTGCTCCTTAGCTCTTGGGGTCTAGTATGCCGTGCTCCTGGTCTTTTTTCTGCCGTGCTCGGCAGCTCTTGGGGCCTATTCTGCCGTGCTCCTGTGTTTTTGTTCTACCGTGCTCCTTAGCTCTTCGGGCCTATTCTGCCTTGCTCCTGGTCTTGTTCTGCCGTGCTCCTTAGCTCCTGGTGTCTATTTTGCCGTGTTCTTGGTCTTTTTTTTCTGCCGTGCTCCTTACTTTGGGGTCTATTCTGCCGTGTTCCTTAGCTCTTGGGGTTTATTATGCCGTGCTCCTTTTTTTTTCTGCCGTGCTCCGTCGCTCTTCGGGTCTCGTCTGCCGTGCTCCTGGTCTTTTTGTTATGCCGTGCTCTTTAGCTCTTGAGGTTTGCTCTGCCGTGTACCTGGTCTTTTTTCTGCCGTGCTCCTTAGCTCTTGGGGTCTATTCTGCCGTGCTATTGGTCTTTTTCTGCCGTGCTCCTTCGCTCTTGGGTCTAGTCTGCCGTGATCCTTGGCTCTCGGGGTATATGTTGCCATGTTCCTGGTATTTTTCTGCCGCACTACGTCGCTCTTCGGGTCTGTTCTGCCGTGCTCCTGCTCTTTTTCTGCCGTATTATTTAGCTCTTGGGATTTGTTTTTCCGTGCTCCTGGTCTTGTTCTGCCGTGTTCCTGAGCTCTTGGTGTCTATTATGCCGTACTTCTTAGCTCTTGGGGTCTACTTTGCCGTGTTCCTGGTCTTTTTCTGCCTTGCTCCTTCGCTCTTGGGGCATCTTCTGCCGTGGTCCTGATCTTTTTCTGCCGTGCGCGCCCAGAAGCTCCGCCAAAACGACCACCGCGACGATCCGCACGGCATAATACAGGAGCACGGCAGAACACACAGAGCACACAGAGGCACGGCAGAACACAGAAGCACGGCAGAACAGGAGCACGGCAGAACACACACGAGCACAGCAAAACACACCCCGCACACACGCCGACACGCGCGCCACGGCAGACCTGCGCGGCGTAGCAACAACATATCATAATGTTTGGTGGACTAAAGCGACGCTTCCCGTTCTTGTCCGGTCAGGTTCCCCTTTTCGAACCCAAGACGGCCCAAGAGGCCTCCAAGACGGCGAAAGATCCCCCCAAGCACCCCTAAAACGACCCAAAGAGACCCAAGAGGGCTCCAAGACGGCACAAAAGCGTTCCAAGACGGCCCAAGAAGCTCTCGAGGTGCCCAAGAGAGCCCCAAGAGCCCTCCCAAGAGGTCCCCGACATGCACAAATTCTTGATTTCTATTATTGTTGTCAATGTTTTGGGGGTCGTCGCCTTTTCCGAGCTTCCGACGTCCCTCGACGGCCCAAGAGGCCCCAATATTGCCCCAAGGTGGCCCAACAGGCCCGCAAGAGGGCCCCAAGACGGCCCCAGAGGGCCCCAAGACGGCCCAAGAGGCCTCCAAGACGGCGAAAGATCCCCCAAGCACCCCTAGAACGACCCAAGAGAGACCCAAGAGGGCTCCAAGACGGCCCAAAAGCGTTCCAAGACGGCCCAAGAAGCTCTCGAGGTGCCCAAGAGAGCCCCAAGAGCCCTCCCAAGAGGTCCCCGACATGCACAAATTCTTGATTTCTATTATTGTTGTCAATGTTTTTTGGGTCGTCGCCTTTTCCGAGCTTTCGACGGCCCAAGAGGCCCCAAGATTGCCCCAAGGTGGCCCAACAGGCCCGCAAGAGGGCCCCAAGACGGCCCGCAAGAGGGCCCCAAGACGGCCCCAGAGGGCCCCAAGACGGCCCAAGAGGCCTCCAAGACGGCGAAAGATCCCCCAAGCACCCCTAAAACGACCCAAGAGAGACCCAAGAGGGCTCCAAGACGGCCCAAAAGCGTTCCAAGACGGCCCAAGAAGCTCTCGAGGTGCCCAAGAGAGCCCCAAGAGCCCTCCCAAGAGGGCCCCGACATGCAAAAGTAATTGATCCGTAAGGGCTTCGCCCTCTGCCGCCGGCCCCCTCTCGGATATTGGGCGATGCAAAAGCGAAATCATAAGGTCTGGGCGCCGCCGTGAAGCAGTGTCGCGACCTGTTTGTTTTTGGACCCTGACCCTACGGATCTGCGTGAGGGGTGCCGCCGAATTTCAGAAATGTTGCGAATTTCATGTGTTTTTGGACCCTGACCCCGCCGATCTGCGTGAGGGGTGCCGCCGAATGTCAGAAATGCGGCAAATCCCATGTGTTTGAACCTTGACCCTGCCGATGTGCGTGAGGGGTGCCACCGAATTTCAGAAATGTGGCAAATCCCATGTGTTCTTGGACCCTGACCTCGCCGATCTGCGTGAGGGGTGCCGCCGAATTTCAGAAATGTTGCAAATCCCAGATGTTTTCGGACCCTGAACCCGCCGATCTGCGTGAGGGGTGCAGCCGAATTTCAGAAATGTTGCAAATCCCAGATGTTTTCGGACCCTGAACCCGCCGATCTGCGTGAGGGGGCCACCGAAAGTCAGAAATGTGGTAAATCCTGTGTGTTTTTGGACCCTGACCCCGCCGATCTGAGTGAGGGGTGCCGCCGAATTTCAGAAATGTTGCGAATTTCATGTGTTTTTGGACCCTGACCCCGCCGATCTGCGTGAGGGGCGCTACCGAATTTCAGAAATGTTGCAAATCCCATGTGTTTTTGGACCCTGACCCCGCCGATCTGCGTGAGGGGTGTTGATTTTTACCCACCCCAGCAATTTAGACAATACGATTTCTCCTTCGTGAAAATGTCTGTTTCGGGCCTCCCCCCCTCGCGCGGTCCATCAACAAGCAACAGGAAGCAGCAAGAAGTCAACAAGGAACAGTAAGCAGCAAGAAGCAGAATTGTAACAGTGGAAACTGGAAGCTGCAACTGGCACAGGAAACTGCGAAACTCCGGCCTACCTGGTGGCCCCACAAGGGGGCCGCCGGATTTTCTATATTAGTTTTTCAATGTTTTTGGGGTTGTCGCATTCCCGCGCTTCCGACGTCCCAAGACGGTCCAAGAGGCCCGAATATTGCCCCAAGATGGCCCAAAAGGCCCGCAAGAGGGCCCCAAGACGACCCCAGAGGGCCCCAAGACGGCGCAAGAGGCCTCCAAGACTGCGAAAGATCCCCCCAAGCACCCCTAAAACGACCCAAGAGAGACCCAAGAGGGCTCCAAGACGGCCCAAAAGCGTTCCAAGACGGCCCAAGAAGCTCTCGAGGTGCCCAAGAGAGCCCCAAGAGCCCTCCCAAGAGGGCTCCGACATGCAAAAATCATTTTTTTGTTTAATAGTTTGTCAATGTTTTTGGGGTCGTCGCCTTTCCGAGCTTCCGACGTCCCTCGACGGCCCAAGAGACCCCAATATTGCCCCAAGATGGCCCAAGAGGCCCGCAAGAGGGCCCCAAGACGGCCCAAGAGGCGCCCAAGACGGCCCAAGAGGGCCCCAAGACGGCCCCAAGAGGGGCCCAAGAGGGGGACCACGCACCGACAATTCGAGCCTTCCGCCCCAAGAGGCCCCCAGAAGGCCCCAAGAGGCCCAAAAGAACCCCCCAAACGGCCCAGAAGAGGCCCCAAGAGGCTCCCACGAGGCTTGTCTTCTTTAGGGGGGCCTTGAAGCAACATCGCCCGTCTGTGGGTTCTCTTGGGCCATCTTGGGGCGATCTTGGGCCGTCTTGGGGCTCTCTCGGGCAACGGCGGCCCACGTGCGATGACGACGACGACGACGGCGAGTGACGAACGATGACGCGCGACTGCGACGACGACGACGATGACGCCGACGGACGACGACGACGACGACGAGCTCCAAAACAGCGCCCAAGAGGCTTGTGCTCTTTCCGACGGGCATTCAAACAACATCGCCTGTCTTGGGGTTCTCTTCGGCCATTTTGGAGCGATCTTGGGCCGTCAAAACAGTGCCGAGGACGACGAAGGACGCCATTTCGGCGACAACGACGACAACGCCCGTCTTGGAGTGCTGTTGGGGTTCTCTACGGGACGTTCCCAGATAAATTTCGTGGACGAAACGGCGTTTCCCGTTCTTGTCCGATCAGGTTGTTTGAAAAATGGCCGTTTCGCTCGAGACATCCTCCAAACATCGGCCCAAGAGGGGACTCCGAATCGACGTCGTGTTCGAATCGCTCTTGGAGGGCTTTCCAACGGCCCAAGGGAGGCCCCAAAAGACGCCCCGGAGAGCCCCAGGAGCGCCCAAGAGCGCCCCAAGAAGACCCCAAGAGACCCCCAAGAGCGCTCTAGGAGCCACCCAGACAGCTCACAAGAACCCCAAGACGGCCCGAGAAGGGCCAAGAAGGCCCCAAGAGACTCCCGGGAGCGCCCCAGGAGGCCCCCAAACGACCCAAGAAAGCTGCAAGACGGCCCAAGATGGCGCCGAGACGGCCTAAGAAAGCTCCCACAGAACCCCACGACGCGCCCAGACAGCCCAAGAAGACCCCAGAAGCCCATAAGAGGACCCAAGGGGCCCCCAAGAAGCCCCCAACAGGCCCCAAGACAACCCCGCGCGGCGCCCGGAGCAACGTCTTTCTCCAATTGCCTCTTATTGTCCTCTGTCGTCGTCGTCGTCATCGCCCTCCGCATTCCTCCTCGTACTCCCCTCGTTCTCTTCGTCCTCGTCCTTATGCTTCTCTTCCTCCTCGTTGTCCTCATGCTCCTCCTCGCTATCCTCACGTTCGCCACGTCGTCCTCGTCATCGACTCCTCGTTGCCCTCGCCTTCCTTTTCTTCTTCGCCCAATAGGCCCATTAGACTAAAGCGGCGCTTCCCGTTCTTGTCCGATCAGGTTTGCTTGACATGTTGTTCGACGACGACAAAGACGACGACGAAGAGGACCCTGACGGCGACGGCGACGACGACGACAACGAAGCTGCCGGCCCCCATGACGACGACCCGATGACGATCACGACGACGAGCCAGACTCGATGGACAGGGTGCTCGCGGCAGGGAGAGCGCCCCCCCGAAGCCGCCGCCGAGGTGTGCGGCTCGCAGATCAGCTGGCGCGCGCTGGAGGCGAACCGCGCTCGCCGTCTGGGGCCCTCATCCCTTTCCCGGCGCTCCCTCGGAGATGGGAGGAGGAGGAGGAGGAGGAGGAGGAGGAGGAGGAGGAGGAGGAGGAGGAGGAGGGGGGAGAAGGAGACGACGAGGAGGAAGGGGGAAGGGACGAGGAGGAGGAGGAGGAGGAGGAGGGAACAGCGGGAAGGGAGGAAAGGAGGAGGGGGGGAGGAAGTGAGGAAATAGAAGCGTCGCCGACGACGTCGTCAGCGCCGACGTCGTCACGTCGTCGTCGGCTACGTCGCCGCCGCGAGGAGCTGGACGCCCGCGCGAGGGGCCGCCCGCACCCGCACGAGATGGGTGCCTGGCACGCCCGCCCCGCAGACTGGGCTGCCGCCGCCGCGGCCGGGCACCGCTAACGTCGTCCTCGTTATCGCCGTTGTCCTAGTCCTCGTCGTCCAGCTGCTCCTCGTCCCGCCCCCTCCGCCGCCTGCTCCATGCCCCTCGCCGCCTGTTCGATTGGGCGGACTTCAATCGGCGGATGCAGCGTTTGGACCCCCTCACCGCCTCCTCCTCCTCCTCCTCCTCCTCCTCCTCGTCTCCGTCCTACCTCCTCTGCCGCCTCTTCTTTCCGCCTCGTCCTCGCCGTCCTCCCCGTCCTGGCCCCTGCTCCGCCCGCCCCCCTCTCTTTCCACCTGCACCTCGTCCTGCTTCTTCCTTTGCCTCCTCTCTTCGCCTCCGCATTGTCCTCACTCATCGTCGTCGTCATCAGATGTGTTATTCGCCTCGTTCTCATCATCACCATCAGCATCACCACCACCATCATTGATGTGCGTGCACAGGTTTGCTTGGAATCGTCCCAGGTCGTTTGTTACTTGGCGTTTCTCTGCAGCTGCTTACTCTCAAGTTTCTCGCGGGATGGATCCCGGCCAGGCTGCCAGCACAAGGGCAGTGTTTGTGGCCTTCTTGGAAACAGTGGTGAGGCATCTCCTCACTCAGCCGCCGCAGTTCCACTGCCCTGGCGGGGGTGAGCCCTGGCCCGAGTGCCCGCCGTGTCCGTCGTGTGTGCGTGTGTGTCTGTGTGTGTTTGTGTCTGTGTGTCTGTGTGTCTGTGTGGTGTCTGTGTGGTGTCTGTGTGGTGTCTGTGTGGTGCCTGTGTGGTGCCTGTGTGGTGCCTGTGTGTGTGTCTGTGTTGTGTCTGTGTTGTGTCTGTGTTGTGTATGTGTGTCTGTGTGTCTGGCTGTCTGTCTGTCTGTCTGTGTGTCTGTGTGTGTGTCTGTCTGTCTCTGTCTCTGTCTCCGTATCCGTCTCTGTCTCTGTCTCTGTCTCTGTCTCTGTCTGTGTCTGTGTCTGTGTCTGTCTGTGTGTCTGTCTGTCTGTGTGTCAGTGTGTCTCTGTGTCTGTGTGTCTGTGTGTCTGTGTGTTTGTGTGTGTGTGTGTCTGTCTGTGTGTGTGTGCGGAATGGAGCAAGGGATCTGGTGGAGGGCGCGCGGGATTGCATGCGCTTGATGACGACGATGATGACGGTGATGGAAGTGGGAATTGGAATGGACAGAGAAGGCGATGGCGCTGTTGGCGGCGATGGCAGTCAGCGCGGGCGCACATCGGTTCCGGACCGGGGTGTCCGGATGAAGCAGAGACGAGGACACGCGCAAGGGGAAGCGTTTTGAGGGGCGCGGAGAAAAGCGCGCGAGCGGGGATGATGCACGCAACGAACGAGAAATAAGAAAGAATCCGGAAAGCGGTTCCGTCGGGGGAGGGCGCGTGAGAAACATCGAAGAAACGAATCATAGACATGATTTACATTCACGCGTGTTTAAATTCGCCAAAGTTGGAGCTCGCTCGGTTCCGAACTCACTGGCGATTGCAGTCGCTCGGATTGAAAATTGCTCGAGTTTACACTTGCTCTGGTTTACATATTCTCGAGTTTAATTTCGCTCGGGTTTAAATTCGCTCGGGTTCCAACTCGCTCGGCTCTGACATCGCCCAGTGGCAACTCCCTCGAGCAGACGCCCGCGCGGGAAGCAGCCTTTTGAAAAGCACCAGCGCAACCAGAGTGAAAACCAAGAGGCGAAACCGAGCGAATCGAAGCCACGCAAGCAAAAACGAGCTAACCGAAACCAAGCGAAAAACAGTTCGCGCGAAAAAAGCAAGGGGGAAACGCGCGAAAACAAATCTGAACGAAAGAAAATTCGAATGGAAAAAACAGCGGACAAAAAATGAAACGATCGAAAATACAGCGAGCGAGCAAAAAAAGCGAGCGAAAGAGAAAGCCACCGTTCTGGCCGCGCAGAAGATCAAGGCACGCATCGCACGTCCAGCGATGGAGCGCGCCAGGCGACTCAGCGCGCATAGCGACGGGCCATTCACAAGGGAGAAGGAGTCAGGGTACGGCACCAGAGGAGCCGTGTACATGCGTCTCGGCAAGTGCCGCGGCACCTGCAAACAGTTCGGCCACCTGCTGGGGCAGTGAGCCGATCGCACCAGTTTGCGCGCAGATCCCCACTCGGTTCCGAGCTGCTCGCAGCATGCGGCGCAGCAGACGGCCTGTAGGTGCACCTCCTCGCGCTGCGAGACGGCGGCGGCCCGGCCTCTGCCGAGGAGATCAAAGGCTGAGGGGGGTAGGGGGTGCGCGGCCCCTGCTGACCTCGTCATGGACGGCGCGTCTGTCTCGAGCGCCCTGCCCATAACCCGGCCCGGCCGCCGTCCGAGGACAGCACGGCTGGCCGCCCGCGGTGGCTAGCCGACCAGCTGCGCACCAAGCAGGTCGACGACTTGCACTGGCGCGACACCCGGGACACGCGGGCCGACCCCATGACCAGGGGCAGCACGGGCGGAGAGCCAACCTTCAGCGTGATGCACGGCCAGATAAGCCATGACCACGCCACGGTCAAGTTCGGCGACTAGAAGCTGAAGGAGCCCGCTCCGAGCTCAGCCCATAGCTCACTCACGCGGAAGCAAGGAGATGAGCGTCGTGATTGTGACACGAGGCCCCACGGAGCCGGAAAAAGCGGATATGCAACATCTAACGGGCGAGACCGATGCGCAGGCACTCTGATGAACGGGTTTGCCCGGACTGTGTCCGGGCAGTTTGCGGTTGCTCGGCAGAGTTCTCATTCAAATAGCCTTGCATTTTTCAGGTCGGGATCGATTAGCTTGTCTCGGCTAGTCTCACGGGCTCTGGCGGGAGTATTTCTATTCTTGCCACTGGCGCCGTGAAACATTTTTGAGGTTGGCGGCGCGGGGGGTCAATGCACCGTTGGAATGTAGTGAAGTCCGCCAACCCAGGGACCTGCCGAAATCAGGTGAACCTGCCCTCTTACGGCTAGGCACCTGTTGTGTGACGGGCCGGTTAGTAGAGCCCCCTTTTGCATTGCTTCCCCGAGTGCACGACGGAAAGGGCTTGAGCACCAGACTCGAAACGTAGCCCCCCGGTCCTTTTTCACTTCTGCCTGCTGCAATGGTCCCCCTTTCCGCTGCCATATGTGATTGCCCACCTTACTCGCGCCTTGTTCACCCTTGCACCTTTTACATGTTTTTGTTTTTCCCATGTCCTCCCTCTCCTCCTGCTCCTCTCCTCCTCTTCCTCCTCCTCCTCCTCCTCCTCCTCCTCCTCCTCCCCCTCCTCTTCTCCCTCCTCTTCTTCCTCCTCATCCTCCTCCTCTTCCTCCTCCTCCTCGTCCTCCTTTCCCTCCTCCTCCCCTTTCTCCTCCTCCCCCTCTTTCCCATTATCTCCCCTTTCTGTGTCCATGGTTCCTCCTCCTGCGTTTTCCCCCCTGCGTCCCTCCATCCTCCCTTCTCCTTGTCTGGGCAGAATTCCGCACCGCAGCACTTGTGTGCCGTAGGCGAAAAAATCGTCGCACAATCGCCCGCCCAGCAGCTAGAGTGCAGCGGCCAGCAATTCTCAGTAGTTTTAGGTGTCACATAGTGCCCTCAGGGGGCCAACTATCCGTTCTCAGCGTGTCGTTGGGAACTGGGCCTGCGCGTCCAGCTCAACTCGGTTCGCCCCGCGTTCGCGGGGCGCGGGGGCGGGGAAAAGAAAGGAGGGAGGGACACATAGATTTGGAACATAAGAAGAACGGGGGCTCAGGAAGAGCAGGAGGCATGGAGGCAGGAAGGAGGGGAGGAGGGAGGGGAGACATGGATGCGCCCTTTTCACATCTCCTCCCATGTTCCCTCTTCCGCGCGGCGCGCCGCAGGCACGTCGGGTGGGCCCGCGTCCGCAGCGCCCTGGAGACCGTGGACGAGGCCATCAAGGCCGGCGGCGCCCCCCAAGAGAGCTCGGGCCTCCGACCGGCAGGCTCTTGCGCGCCCGCTTGCGTGGGCCAAAGACCACTTGACTACTGCGGGTCGCATCGTTGGCAGGTTTTGAATCCATGGAGATTGCGGTTGGCAGTTCGGCCACGGTGTTCCAGTTCTTGCGCACATCTATACAGTGTTGCGCACGGCCTCGTCCGGCCTGGCTGCGCAATGGCCTGCCGTCTCCTGGTTCCCTGGGGTCCACAGGATCTAAAAATCAGATCCAGGGCCGGTGGAGCAGATCCACTGCGTTGGATCAGATTCGGGCTTCTGGCCCGAGGTGGATCAGATCCGACCCTTTGGATCTGACCCGCTATGTCGGATCAGATCCGTGTGCAATACAAAATGTTGTGTAACTTATATAAGCATAGTAATACATCATATATAAGTATATAAAAGTGTGTATGTATACGCGTTATGTCAATATACATATATAGTTGTGCGTGTATAGCTATATATATATATATGTGTGCGTATGAGTATGTAAATGTATATGTATGTAAAGATGTGTGTATGCATAACGTGTATATATACACACCTATATATATACATATATATATATATATACATATGTGCATATATATATATATTTATATATACGTATATATTTGCATATATAAATCGATTTAGATGTATATGTAATGGATACGCGCGCGCGTCCGAGTTCTGTGTTTGAGTTCTGCATGGTCCACAAAACAGAAAATCTACATGTAATTCCAAAAACTGAATTCAAGAATCCTGTGGCTCTGTAAGGAGGCCGACGGACGCATCGATTTATTTGTAGTGGGCAATACGGAACTGCGACGCGCGCGCGCGTCTGAGTTCTGTACTGTCCAATAGAAATCGCTACGTAATTCCAAAAACTGAATTCAAAACTTCTGTGGTTTATTAAGGAGGCCGACGGACGCGTTCACTTAGTTGTATTGTGGGCGATACAGATCTCAGGCGCGCGCGCGCGCGACCCCTGAACGTGTGTGTGTGTGTGTTGCGTTGTGGTGTGTGTGTGTGTGTGTTGTGTGCTGTGTTGTGCTGTGCTGTGCTGTGCCATGTCGCTCCTGGTCCATAGGCGCTTACTTCAGAAGGCTGGCGGGATGGCGCAAGCCGAGCACCAGAATCAGCGGAGCGGCGGAAGCCATCGGAAAACAGTATCCGCGGAACGGCGGAAGCCATCGGAATACAGTGGTTATCTAGATCGGAAGCGGCCCAAACAAGATGGCCCCGTTTTAAGGCGACCAAGGCAGCCTCCAAGACATCCAGCGTAAGACGGACAAGACGGTTTCCAAGACGGCGGTCTCAACACAGGCAATACGGCATGAATGTTTGTCTTGGCAGGATTGCTTGACACGGCGGGACAGCCAAGGGGCCCAATACGGCTTATCCTCCTCCTCGTTGTCCCCCTCGCTTATGTATTGTTCGTTTTCCGCACCCTCATTTTCCTCCTCCCTTTTGTCGTTTATACGTCTTCTCTTGCATTGTGTTTGTCCTTATTCGTTTCCTTGTTTCCCGTTGTTTTATTCACCCTTAGCATCATATGTGGTTTTATGTTTGTCGTATTACCATCCTATGTCTTATGGTTGTCACCTTTCTTCTCCCCTTTCCCTTCTACTTTCCTTGGTCCCCTTCTCATTTGAGTTTTGAGTTTTGGGCGAGATATCGGGACCGCTGGCATCCAGAGGGAAAGTATTCTAAGACAGCGTGTGAGCACGTGTGTGCTGGAGCTCACCGATCCAATAGTCTTTCGGAGATCGCAACAGGTCGGATTCAGACAGTGTCTGTTTGAGCTCGTGAATGCTGGAGCTCATCGGTCTTCGCATCCCTCGGATATTCCAAAAGGGTTGGGTTCCTTCTCTGAAGGGTGCGACGGACGTTGACCTCAAGCATTATCTTGCTCAAACGGTGTGTCTGACATGGCCATGGTGAGTATGACGATGTTGATGGTGTTGATGATGATGCCGTCTCCGCAACCATCGATCTGACAGATGCGACACGTGCACTCGCAGCGAATCGTCTTGCACCGATCGGCCAGGAGCGAACTGCGTATCACCCGCGAGGAAGTTCAATCACCCCTTTCAGAGTCGGTTGGAATATCGTGCCGCATTTGTTCAACGAGATCGGTGTCTCGATCCTTACGGCATTCATCACAATCATAGGTTGCTTGCGCAAGGCTCACGATCGAAGACACCCGCTTCTTTAGCACACGGAGCCTTACCCCTTGCCTGAAATTCTTCATCCTCAACAAGCGCACCAGTTTGAGCAATGAACGGAAGCGCCTCTTCACGATGGGGTTCGATTTGGTGATGTACACGGGAACTTTGGTCGGCTGCCATTTCAGATTCTTTGTTTGGCCATCAGGTGGTGTATGTTGGAGTTGAAAATCGAGGGAGTTGAACACCGCCCAAATGGCTCGAGCACGAACTGCCTACGGAATTGTTGTGCCCAGGGTGGTTGCCAAGTGTTGCATAGCATTGCGTAGCATTGCATCGTATTGCCACGCCCAGCATAGCATAGCGTTGCGCAGCCTGTTTTGTTACGTCCAACGTAGCATTGCATAGCGTTGCTTGTTGCATCCAACGTAGCATCGCACAGCGTTCCAGAACCTAGGATAGCCGGCCATGCAGATTCATTCGCATAGCATGCGCAAGCTCCCGATGCATCAGTCAGTATACTTATTGTCTCTATGCCGTCCGAGCCGCGCTAGGTCACACCCACCCGCAGGGGAAAACCAGATGCACTTGGTCGCCACGGTTGGGACTCCTCCCCCATCTTCCTCCTCTTCCTCCTCCTCCTCCTCCTCCCGCTTCTCCCCCTCACCCTCGTCCTCCTCCTCCTCCTCCTCGTCCCCCTCCCCCTCCTCCTCCCCCTCCCCCTCCTTCTTCTCCGCCACGAATGGATTCGGCTCGAATTCTTTGTCAGAGCTGGCTCCCAACAAAGGGAGAGAAAGACAGAGAGAGAGAGAGAGGGATAGCAAGAGCGAGAGAGAGAGAGAGCGGGTCAGGTGGATGAAGGGTGATGCATCTTCTCTTACTCAAGGTCAAAGACGCTTCGGCGTGTAAATCCGAGAGTCCAATCCGAGATCGGCGATGATGTGAAACGACTTAAACACTCGATGCGCGAACTTGTTGGCATGCACGTGCTCCGCAACGGTTCTGAATATCAAATTAAGTGCCTCATCTTTCCACACAGCATACCAAGTTGGATTTCCGTGCCATTGGATCCTGTGGGAATTTCTCGGGCAACCGACCGACGACGGGCACGAGGACGAGGAGCAGGAGCATCCGAGGAAGAGGAGGACAGGGAGAGGAAAGGAGAGGAGGAGGAGGAGGCGGAGGAGGAGGCGGAGGAGGAGGAGGAGACGAGGAGGAGGATGAGGAGGAGGAGGGCTAGTAGCCCCTCGCCTCCTCGTCCTGCCTCCTCCTCCTCTCTACCTCGTCCTCGTGCCCTCAGTCGGTCGGGTGTGCGAAGCCCCGCTCCTCTCCGCAAGGTGGGCGCTGAAATGAAACTCAGGAACGAAGTGCACGTGGGCGCGTCCACACCGTAGCAGACAGGATTGCATCAGGTCGAACAGTTTTTGAATGCTAGGGCGTGGCACGGCGATTGGCTCATCCTTCAGCGCAGTGTAGAAATCCCAGACAGGCATGGCATCTGCCAACACGTGTTTGTGGTATGGGATGTTGCGAAACTTGTCTTGATCGGCCAAATAAATAGCAAACTGAAGCATTCACCCTCATTGTGCCACCAGTGAAAACCCCGTCGTCGTTGTGCTCCGACTCCACAGGCTCCCCACCCAATGTAGATAGAGTAAGGTCCCCAATTCTATCCCCCCAAGGAATTTCAGCTTTGACTTGCAACTCCATCAACATGTCCCTCATGTGCTTGCATCCCATGTCGAGTCTCGCTTCTTTGGTCACATGGAGATTCCAGGGGTTCGATATCATTATCCTCCAGAGAATCGTGCTCGCAATTCTCATAATTGGCCCACCGCAAAGCGTGTGCATTGTATCTACTGCGCAGCCTGTTGCAGGATCAATACCTAAACCTGAAAACAATGAATTTCTATGAACTACAGGGCCACACCTCTTATTTGTCTCGTCCTTCTGAAATCTCCACATCACAGCTTTGAAATGTGGCTTTGCATGGAACACTTGCTGTGGATTTTGGAGCGTGTCCGACTGCGTTAGCACGTCTCCTGTTTTCAAGGATAGGTGATCGAACTCGAGATCACTGTGCAGCGTTGGGCCATATCCCGGTTTGCCTGTGTTGAGCGATATCTTGTTGACACGTTTTTGTAGGGTTGCGTCGTCATCCACATCCAAAGTGAATTCACACACCTTGCACAAATCTTCATAGTCCCCTTCTAACACGGGTTCCCAAGGGATCTCGTTCAAGCCCATTTCGGCATACCCATCATGCATGCTATGCTTCGTGCAGCAACAGACGGGGCAAGGATTGTTTTTAGAATTGACGCTGGGCAACGCGTGCGTGGACCCTACGTCCGACCAATCCCCCATTAAGCCAACACACTTGGGCGTTGAAGGCTAAATCCTCACCGAAATCGTTCAATGCAGTTTTCATGGTATGATTGGCTGGTCACGCATTGCCATTCACATCATGCAGAGGCCGTCGTCCATTGGCAAGAGCTTTGAAACAATAGTGTAGATATCTCAATATCGCCCACATCGAATGCCAGCCCCTGCAACCGCACCTGCAAGACTGACTGTGGCGCCAAATCGCCCCGAGGTGTCGTTTTCCAGTTGCGACGTTTACTACCCAAAACCCCGTCATAGAGTCGACGTTGCTTGCCAATGGACTCTGGTATCTGACACCGTCCGTGTACAGTGCCAGAGGGATCGGCGCGCGGCGCTCGCTCCTCTCGCACTCCTTAAACACAGGGTGGCGGTGATAGCACTCTGGCCATTCCATCGCCGCAGCTTTATCTAAAAGCCCAGGCGGTGATGCAACCTCATCTGCCAGGCTCTCGAATACAAGGAGGACCTGAAGATCAACACTCAACTCTAAACCCTTTTGCGGAGGTGCCGAAGGAACGTTGATCATATCATACAAACGTGTGTCCGAAAAAGCTGAGTCAAGCTTTGTCTGGTATTTTCCGCTTTGGAGGTCTGGTGGCAAGGCGTATTTTGCAAACTCTCCTCCCACGCAACTCGCCGCATCAGCGTGATGACACGCGATTGCAAAGTCTCGAGCTGGGATCTTCCCCACGGCGTATAATGACTTCAGATGGTGCAACAAATTCCAACCAGCAATCCGAAGATCATGCATCATATCATTGTAGTCTTGTTTTTCGTACGCAGGTACGTAAGATTCAAGATCAATGAAACGGCGCCGTCGTTTGAAACTTTGGCCATGGGCAGGTGTGGGCATCATGGCGCATAAACCTGAGGCGAAATGCTTGCGGAAAATGTCAGTGGGGTTCCGTCTTCTCTCTCATTCTCTCAAGGGCCCCCCATGCTAGTCCTCAAGGTTTCTAGGGTGGATCGTTCAGGGGGCTGAGATACTTAAGAGGCAACCTCAGAACCCTTTGGATTTGCCCTCCCCCCCTTCCCCCACCGAAGACAGCCCTCCTAGACATGCCCCAAGACCCCAACAGCCTAAGCTCGCCAAGACCGTAAGACTCCCACACCAAGACCACCAAGACTTTAAGACCCCACAACCTTAAGGACTGCACATCTCCCAAGAACCTCGAACCCCAGGGCCCCAAGACTTCCCCAATCCGAATCGCCAGGACCCCAAGATCCCCAAGACCCCATGTCTCCGATCCCCAACAGATCCCCAAACAACACAATCCCAAAGAGACCCCAGGACCCCCAAAGAGACCCCAGGACCCCTAACGCCGTATCCTCCCGCCCCCCCGAGCCAATCGACTTACCGCGAGGCATCCCGCCTGCGGTCTCGAGTCGGCCCGAGGGGTCATGGAGTATATGGCGATGGGGAGGGTGAGGCGGGGCGTCCATGAGCCTGTCCAGACGCGCCGATTCGCGAAGCACGATCAATCGGCACTCACAGCCGCAATTCTGCATGATCCCGAGGCTGGCAGTACCCAATCCCTGTAGGACAGGGGGTGAAGGGACGATGAGGATCAGGTAGGGAGGAGATGGCTGGGAGGAGGAAGAGGAGGTAGGCAGGGAGGAGGAGGAGGTAGGGGGAGGAGGAGGTGGGCAGGGGGAGGCAGAGAGGAAGGAGGTATGGAGGAGGAGGAGGAGGAGGTAGGAGGGAGCAGGCATGGAGGAGGAGGAGGTAGGCAGGGAGGAGGGAGCTGGCAGGGAGCAGGCAGGCAGGGATCAGAGAGGGAGCAGGCAGGCAGGGAGAAGGGCAGTCCGAAGCGGTTCGGAGGAGGATCAGGTGAGGGAGCAGGCAGGGATTTGGTAGGTCAACAGAGATTGCCGAGATAACGGCCTGATCCGCCCGATCAGTGTAGGAAAATTTGGTTGGTCACGGCCCCCAGCGGTTCTGATCAGTCAATCTCGGGCCAGCCCCGACTCAACGGACCTCACCGGGTCTCAACGCGTCGCGTTGAGACGCGTTGAGTCTCACCATCCCTGTAAAAACACAGGGTCCCAGGGCCCACTCAACGCGAATCACCGGGTCTCAACGCGTCGCGTTGAGACCCGTTGAGTCCAGCTTTTTCCGTCACAGGAAGGGTGATTCCAGGTTTTTCCGTCCCAGTCCAGGTTTTTCCGTCCCAGTCCAGGTTTTTCCGTCCCAGTCAAGGTTTTTCCGTCCCAGTCCAGGTTTTTCCGTCCCAGTCAAGGTTTTTCCGTCCCAGTCAGAGTTTTTCCGTCCCAGGAAGGGTGAGTCCAGGTTTTTCCGTCGGTTGAGGTGTCGGTTGAGGGATCAGGGCCTGCCAGCAGCGCTCAGCATGCTCTCGGCGTGCTCCCCACACGCCCGCATGCCTGACCAGGGGCTGGAGGCCTCCCCCCACCTCTTCCTCCTGGTCCTCAGGGTCCGTCCTTCCCTCGAGCCCTGGGGTCCTGAGACGTTTCCGAGCTCCTCCTCCTCCTCCACCTCCTCCTCCTCCTCCTCTCTCCTTTCCCTCCTCATCTTCCTCCTCCTGTTTCCATCTTTCCCCCTCCTCTCTCCTCCTCCTCCTCCTCCTCCTCCTCCTCCTCCTCATCATCATCCATCATCATCATCATCATCATCATCATCATCATCATCATCATCATCTCATCATTCTCATCCTCATTTCCTCATCCTCATCCTCCTCATCCTCATCCTCCTCATCCTCTTCCTTCCTCCTCCTCCTCCTCCTCCTCCTCCTCCTAGTTGCGCCTCCCGTACGCAGCACCCCGCGTGCTGCCCATCTCCGTGACGCCGAGGCCCACGGAGTGCACGATCGTCGCGAGGACGATCAGGCCGCAGACGAGCTCCGCATGCGCTTCTGGCCATCTGACTTGTTCGCGAGCTTCGCGCTCTCGGTGACCCACGTGTCGTGCATTGACACAATCATACGCGTCGCCTTCACGAGCTTGTTGCTTCCAGGGTTCACCTTCTCGCTGAAGTTCTGCAGCCAGCGCTCGAACTGCGAGACGGCATCCTCGTCCTTCTTCGCCTTGATCTTCTGGAGCATCTCCGCGACGTCGCCGCTGATGAACTTCGAGAAGTTCGCATTGCTCTTCAGCTCCTTGTCGAGATTCTCCCTGGCTTTCAACACCTTGCCGATGAGGCCTGGCGTGTCGAACACGGTCCAGCTTTCGTCGGTACCTTTCACGTCGGAGATCAACGCCTCTGTTGCGGTGATGGCCATGATGTAGGAGAGCTTGGCAGCCTTGGCATCGCTGATCAGAGAGTTCGCCTTCCTCTTCTTGGGTGGCTCTTCTGGAGTTGGAGGCTCTGCAGCTGGCTGCTCAGGACCCTTGCGCCTCCTCCTGCGACCCTCAGGCTCTGTGGGAGGCTATGGCTGCGTCTCATCCTCGGCTTTCCGCTCTGCCGTCTCCTCTGCCTTCTCCTCTGCCGTCACCTCGGGCTTCTCCTCGGGCTCCACCTGCGCCTCTGCAGGCGGTGCAGGCGGCGCAGGAGCCGCCGTATTCTGCAACGTTGCAGCCCTCGTGCCGATGCTCAGCCAGGAGTCCGTGTTCTTGATATCGGTGTTGCCCGAGTTGTTGGCCGTCTTCGTCATCTGCCAGCGCTCCTCGTACGATTCCTCGATGTCGTCGATCCTGTAAAGGTACCGCCAGTCCTTGCGCCACGTGCACCACTTGTAGAACGGCGGCCCCATCGCAACGCATTTCAACGTGTAGTTGATCGCGTTTTGTTCTCCTCTCTTGCCCCCGCCCTCCGCCGTGATGATGCGGTTCAGCACGTAGTAGCGCTCGTCAGAGAAGGTCCTCCTCGACAAGCGCTCCATCTTGACCTTCTCCTGCTTCCACTCCGTGAACTGCTTCTTCATCCACCTCGCGCGGAAGTCGCGCTGCGCATCGGGGTTGCGGCCAAGTGCTTTGTAGTTCTTTTTCTCTTGGATGCTCTCCTCGTTCTTGCCGTTGATGAATATGTCCCACTGGTTGCCCGCTGGATTGCCAGCGGCACCCCGAGCATCGAACTTCCAATCCTGCGCCATCATCTGCTTGAAAAATTTCGCCCTCGGCTCATTCAAGTTCAAGACATCCATATCCGACAACTAGCTATCATTGCTGGTGGCCTTGTGGGGGTCGGCCATGAGCTTGTCCATACTCTCTGGACGGTCGCGACCTGCGCTCATCAGGTTGTTGGCCTCATCCGCAAGCATGGCCTCCAAGTCGCGTGCTCGACCAACGTCACCATCCGCGCCTACCCAAGATGACGCAGCTGTCGATGGCACGGCTGTCGAGGCCTCGACCTCCGTCTCCTTCATCGCATACATCTTCATGCTGACCTCCGTCACCCTCTTGGCGAAATCCAGATCCACGTCCTCGCTATCCTCGGCGCAGGCGTCTAGCAGCCCGTCGGCGTCCTCCACCTCTTGCTCCTCAATCTTCATGCTGAGCTGGTGGAGGTAGTCCTGCCCCTCGCCATCATCGGAGCTGACCTCCACCATGTCGGCATACGGATCCTCCAGGACCTGGCTGGTGAACGCTTGGTCCATCGATGCCTCAGCCATCGTTGCATCGATCTCAGTCTGAGTAGCTGGCTGGGTGTCGGAGCTATCGTCCTCGGGCTCGGTGCCGCCGTTGCCCTCACAGGGCGGCATGAGGGCCAAGGGCTCGGCGGGCTGCTCGCTGTCGGCCTCGGCTCCGAGCGGCTGGGTCTCGACGGGGGAGCTGGGCACAGTCTCGACTGGACCCTGTTGCTGTCAGGCAACGACTCTGGCTCCTGAGACGCCATGGTCCCGCGCTGCGCAGGTCTGTGTCCTTCGGGCCAGGGCGCCGCTCGGGCACCAGGACTTGGGCCAGAAACTGGCTGAGGATTGGGTTTGATTTGATTCGTGTCTGAGTGCTTCGAATGTTATCTGAAAAAAAACTTGTCCTCTCACGCTTCCCCGTTCTCTCTCTCCTCTCGCCCTCTCCTCTCCCTCCTGTCCCTCTCCCTCCCCTCTCGTTCCTTCGTCCGTCCCTCCTCCGTCCTCCTCGGGGCCTCCTCTTCCTGCCAGTCCATCGGCTCCCAACTTGGGCCTCCCCGAGGCCCTGCCCCGTACGTTCAGTCGTGTTCTGTTTTTTTTTCTGGGGCCCCACTTGGTTGGCAACAGCCTCGAGTCTAGCGGACGGCGTCCCTCAGATCGAGCTGGTTCAGGAAGTTATCTGGCGGCGAGTCCATGTCGGACATCTCTGCCTTTCGAGGGGAGCGATGATGGGCAAAGGAGGGACAGGTGGGGGAGAGGTGCAGGATTGGCGGCCTAGTGCGACGAGAGGTTCTTGTCGAGCTGTGCCCTCAGCTTAATGTACTCGGAGACTTCCTTAATGGAACAGTTTAAGATCGGTTTGAAAATGGGAGGGGGGCGAGTAGGACCAGGCGGTCCTGTTAAGTTGCTGTTCTCCCTCCAGCGGCAGATGAAATCGACCCTGGCCCGCTGTATCCTGGCACGACACACCGCTTTAGTTTTGGGGTCCATCAAGCTGCACTGTTCTGGCCTCAGTCTGTCAGACACGACCTCGGGCATGACGATGGGAGCGGGTTCCATGTCCTCGATTCGCAGCCGAATGACCGAGAGGAAGAGAAGAAAGGCGAGGAGTCAGAGGAGGCAGACTAGGATGATGAAGAGCAGGAGGAGGAGGATGAGGAGGAGGAGGAGGAGCGGCAGCAGCAGCAGACGTTTGAGGATGACCTCGGTTTCGAACTGCAGGTTTTCGATGTGATACTTGCCGTGGGCCGCCAGGAACCCATGTCTGTCGTACGTGGGGGGGTCGCAGCTGTGGTCGACGAAGTGCTGCGGTTTCGGTTCGACCGATATCGAGGGAGCTGGATGAGGATGTGAGGATACATCAGGAGAAGGAAGAGTAGGACGTCGACCTCTGCGTCTTCCCCGATAGTGCATAGGTAATACACAAGCCGTCGATATTCTGGCGGGATCTGAGGGGCAGGAGGTGAGGATAACACGGCGAGGATGAGGAGGAGAATGCGGGAGGGGAGGTGGATGAGCAGGATGAGCAGGAAGGGGAGGAGGAGAAGCAGGAGGAGGAGGGGGAGGAGGAGAAGAGGGAGGAGGAGGAGGAGGAGGAGGAGGAGGAGGAGGAGGATATTACCCTTTCCATTCCCAACGCCTCCGTTGTCGCAGCAAGCGGCGCTGGCGACGTAGCCGTCGGTGCTGAAGTAGACTTCGGTGTTGGTGAAGTAGCCTTCGGTGGTGGCGAAGTAGCCTTCGGTGCTGAAGTAGCCTTCGGTGTTGAAGTAGCCGTCGGTGCTGAATTAGCCGTCGGTGTTGAAGTAGCCTTCGGTGGTGACGTAGCCGTCGGTGCTGAAGTAGCTCTCGCTGCTTTGGCAGCTGGGCCCGCTGGCGAAGCCGCTGCGGGTCGCTTCATACCCGCTGGTTGGTTAGCAGCATTCCCGTCACCGCTGTCATCGCTGTCAGAGAACTCGTCCACGGGCTCGGCCTCCTCAACCTACTCCTCCTCGTCCCCCTTCAGCGTGTTCGGTGTCCTCCTCGGCGGCGTCGTCCATGTTCTGAGCCTCCACGCCCGATGGCCGTTTGGCAACAGCGTACATTCTTGGCTTGCTCCGCCTCTGATTTATTCATCTCTCCACGGGCCATCTGCTCGACGAACCCCTTCATCGCCTCGGTCGCTTCCTCCCTTGCTGATGGCCCGTGGTGTGTAATAACAAGTTGAAGGCGCGCGACCTCGTCCTTGGCCCCTTCTCCCCTCATCTTGATCCGCAACATGTTGACGACGTTGTCCTTATGGGCCTCGTTCTGCTCCAGCAGCCTCCACGTAGTGCCCTTGTACTCGTACCTGTGTAGCTCACGACATCTACTTCCCTTTCGAGCTGCATGGTGCCTTTGTTGATTGAGCTCGGCGTATGTTAAGGATGGAATCTCCCATGTCCCACCGTCTGTCCACTTCGCAACCACGCAATCTGTATCATCTGCGGCGTCGTCTTTTACTAGGGGCAAAGACGGTTGCCTGACGCCGAGGCCGCCCCTAGATAAAATCTCGCAGCAGTAGGCCAACATCTCGTCCTTCTCAAACTTGTACTCGTAGTTGCGGCATGCTGAGCTTCCTGAGTTACCACTTGTCGGGGCGTCCTCCCGGAAAAACACAAGCCAACCTGGTGGCGCATCCGATTGTGCGGCCTTGTGTTTTATGATTGCTTGGTCGACGTCGCGCCGTAGCGCGCGCATTCTGTGCGCCATCTTGCCGCTGTATGCGTCAATCTCTGCTCCGAGTTTCCAATCCTTCTCCTTGTCACGAGCTGCAGCGGCCACTGCTCTAGCCATCGCTTGTTGGGCCATCCCATGAGGTATGCATCGGATTCAGTCTTGGTAGCGTGTAATCATCGACGTGTCCCGCGGTCCGCACAACTGGTCTCTGTAGGCGATCAGCGAAGAGCTGTCCAGGACATCCAAACAACCTTGCTTGACAGCCTCCTGGTCTTCGCTCAAAGACATCGTGCGCAGAGCGTGTGACCAGCACGCCAACGCAAGAGATATGGAGTGAAACAACTTCATATATACACAACTTCGTCGAAGAAATGCACCTATCGCGCCAAAACGGCTACACACGGAGGAGGACAGGCGGGGGGGGGAGGACGGGGCGACATTCGTATCAATTCTTGTTTTCTAACAGGGGAACCGTACGTGTGAGGGGTGTTCCGAAATGAATGGTGTTTGCGCGTGCGGTTTGTGCCACTGGAGTCATCGGTGGAGTTGCCTTAGGGATGTGCCGAAATGGGTGCCGTTGACGCATGTGGCCTGTGCTGCTGAGGCTTTCGGTGGAGCTGCCGAGGGGTATCTGTCAAAAGAAATACCGCCGACCCCTTTCAGACGGCCGCCAAGCACGTGATAAAAATGGGCTCGCCGACCTGGGGAGGTCGCTAGGAGTGTGAGGCTTACGCTGAATAAGGAATTTACCGACCTCATAAGAGGCCTCCAGGCGTGTAAGAACTACCATATGGGTATCGTACGAATGCTACGCAGCAAAGCGCACATACACGTTAGTGCAATATCTAACATATGTTGCACAATTGTATGTTCTCGTAACACAGCTAGAATATAAATAATATATACATATATGTATATATGGATCATAATATACCATATGTATACATACTATACGTACACTGTTTCACACGTACACTATGTATTAATGTATACACAGATGTACATGTTGTGCACTACAGAATATATATATATATGCATGTGATAATAAACAGTACATGTATATGACTCGTACTACACACTTGTTGGTCGCGCGGATCAGATTTGATCGTTCGGAACAGATTTTGTAGTTTGGATCTATGTTGTCCTCGTGGATCAGATCCGACCTCTTGGATCTGATCTGAGCCGCTCGGAAACGCAGGATCTGAACATCAGATCCTGTGGACCCCAGGGTTCTCCCCTGCTCTCTCCTCGTTTTCCCCCTCTTCGTCCGCGACCGTGCTTTCAATTGCGTTTTATGTGATAGAGCAGGGGGGGAACGGGAGGGATTTGGAGCCTCACAGTGGACACAGCAGTTGTCCGGGCTGATCCAGAGGGACCTGGGTATCACGGCGAAGGCTTGCTGAGTGGTGCGTAGAGGATTGAAGGCTTGATTGCATGATAAGGAAGCACAAGTGTCGCCCCCAAGACGACCCAGGAGGCTCCAAAACGGTCCCCAAGAGGCTTCAAAATTGCCTCCACGAGGCCCCCGAGAGGTTTCCCGCGACCGCCAAGACGGCCACAAAGCAGGCTCACGAGCACCCATCCCACGACAGCAAGGATTGCCAAGGACTGCCACAGATCAATATTATATCGAAGACGCCTACGGCGAATCACCGCCGCCCCCTGCCCCTTTGGAAGCGCCTATGTGGCCGACAGCTGGGCTAGAGCTTGGCCAAGCTATCGAGCCAGTTGTTCCCCGAGTCGGTTTGGAAAGCCTTAGGGGAACGCGTGGGGGAGCAATAGGAGGAGGATCAGGAGAGGGAGGATGATGATGATTAGGAGGAGGAGGATGAGGATGAGGATGGAGACCTCTTGGGAACCGTCTTGCGAGGCCTTTTGGGAGGCCTATGCGGAGCTTCCTGGGAGCCTTTTGGAGGCCTCTTGGGAGCCTCCCTGGGCCTCTCGGGGGCTTCTTGGGGGCCTTTGGGGACTTCTTGGGGGCCTCTCTGGCCGTCTTACGGCTTTCCCGACCCGTCTGATATCGTCGGAAACCGTCTTGGGGGCCTCTCTGAACCGATTTGGGGCTCTCTTGGGGCGCATCAGGGCCGTCTTGGAGAGTATCTTTGACGTCTTGGAGGTCGCCATCTTGGGGGCCTTTTGGGCCGTCACGCGGCCATCTTGGAGGCCTCTTGGGCGATCTTGGGGCGACCTTGGGGACCTCTTCGGCCGTCTTGGGCCGTTTGGGAGGCCTTTAGGGGCCCCTTGGCCCGTCTTGGGCCATCCTGAGGCTATCTTAGACCGTCTTGGGTGCATCTTGGACCATCTTGAAGGCATCTTGGGGCCATCTTAGCCGTCTTGGAGGCCATCTTGGCCGTCTCGGAGGCGTGTTGGGGCCCTCTTGGGGCCGTCTTGGGGGCCTCTTGGGCCGTCATGGGGTCATCTTGGAGCCCTCGTGGGCGATCTTGGGGGCCTCTTGGGCTGGCCGTCGGAATGCCGAGAAAAAAGCACATGCCAAAACCCTTCAACCTAAGGAAAATCAATGATGTTGGTCACTTCGGGTCCCCTTGGAGAACCTCTTGGAGGCCTCTTGGGTCGGCTTGGAGGCCTCTTAGGGGACTCTTGGGCCATCTTGAGGCCAACTTAGGCAGTCTTGGGTGCATCTTGGGCCGTCTTGAAGGCATCTTTGGGCCATCTTAGCCGTCTTGGAGGCCTTCTTGGTCGTCTCGGACGCGTGTTGGGGCCCTCTTGGGGCCGTCTTGGGGCCTCTTGGGCCGTCATGGGGCCATCATGGAGCCCTCGTGGGCGATCTTGGGGCGATCTTGGGGGCCTCTTGGGCTGTCTTCAGCCGTCGGAATGCCGAGAAGAAGCAAATGCCAAAATCCTTCAAAAACCTAAGGAAAACCAATTATTTTGGCCTCTTCGGGCCCTCCTGGAGGACCTCTTGGAGGCCTCTTGGGCCGTCTTGGGCTGCCTTGGACGCTTTTGGGCGTACTTGGAGGCATCTTGGACTCTCTTGGGCCGTCTTCGAGGCCACTTTGGACCATCTTAGGCGAACTTGGAGGCCATCTTTGGCCATCTTGACCATCTTGGAGGCCATCTTGGAGCAGTCTGGAGCAGAAAAGCCCTTTGCAACGCGCCCCACAGCCCGCCCGCGAGGAATGCGACGAGGGCCAGCGCGTGGGCTCGGGCGGCGGGAAGCCGGCGCGGGAGGCGCCGAGCACGACGGGGCTCCGAGGCGGGGAAGCCGTCAAGGACCGCGGCAGCCGAGGCGGCGAGGCTGAAGGAAGAACAAATTCTAGGCCCCCCAGATAGGGTCGGAGTACAGTCGAGGGTGATCAGTCGGTCGACCATGCCAAATCATAGCGACCTATGCCTTTACATTCGTATGGCAATGTGGCCCTCGGAAGGGTCTTGCGTCCTCTCGCGTGTCCTCTTCAATCAACCCCGACTGTAGATGGGGACGTAGGATCGCGCCGCATCGCCGATGCATCGGCGATGCGGTTCGATGTAGAGCCCGATCTCGTCATGCATCGCCGATGCGTCAGTGATGCATCGACTATGCGGCGCGATGCTCCGACCCGATCTAATCCGACCCCATCTGGGAGGCCTCTTATTGCATGGACTTAAACTTTCTGAGGTCCGCGCGGGTTTCTTGGATCGGCGCTGGACCCCCCTCCCCCCATCCCTGGCGCGCCAAGGGCGGCGCTGGAGGCGCCTGGGACCCGATCCAAGAAATCCGCGCGGACCTCCGAAAGTTGAATTACATTTGTGCGGTTTTTATTTCCCTTCGAGAGGCTGGCGACGACCGCAGTAAGGCCATGGGCGCAAACGAGGCTTTCGAAGGGGAGGCCTCCAAGGAGCGCAGGAGGAGTCGCGGCAAGAGCAGGCAGCGGAGCAAGGTGAAACGCGGCATGCGGAGCAGCTGCAGCGAGAGTGGCCAGCGAAAGGCGGAGGCAGAGGCCGAGGAGGTGAAGGCTACTAAGAGGAGGAAGGCCAAGGAGGCGAGCTCCAGCCCAGAGGCTGCCAAGGGCAAGCGGCGGAAGGCCAAGGAGGCGAGCTCCAGCCCAGAGGCTGCCAAGGGCAAGGGGCAGAAGGCCAAGGAGGCGAAGGACTCCAGCCCAGAGGCGGCCAAGGGCAAGAGGCGGAAGGCCAAGGAGGCGGACTCCAGCCCAGAGCCCAGAGGCGGCCAAGGCAAGAGGCGGAAGGCCAAGGAGGCGGACTCCAGCCCAGAGGCGGCCAAGGGCAAGAGGCGGAAGGCCAAGGAGGCGAAGGACTCCAGCCCAAAGGCGGCCAAGGGCAAGGGGCAGAAGGCCAAGGAGGCGAAGGACTCCAGCCCAGAGGCGGCCAAGGGCAAGAGGCGGAAGGCCAAGGAGGCGAAGGACTCCAGCCCAGAGGCGGCCAAGGGCAAGAGGCGGAAGGCCAAGGAGGCGGACTCCAGCCCGGAAAGTGCCCAGCAGAAAAAGAGGTCGGCAAAGAGGCAGAGAAGGTCGTCGTCTTCCAGTTCCGTGCGATCTCTACGGAAGGGAAGGGTCAAGGATACAAAGAGGGAAGGCAAGGCCCAGCGACAAGTGAATGGCGACGACGGCCCCAGAAAGAAAAACAAGAAGGGCGGCAAATTGAAGAAGAAGGAGGACACATCTTCAGGCTGATGGTCGACGTCTGCACGCGCTCTCGGAGGGCAACGACGCGAGAGGGGAACTCCACTGGCGACGGCGCTGGCGGCAGCAGCAGTCGGGGAACAAACAATGACACAAGCATAAAACTTTTGAGGTCCGCGCGAATTTCTCGAATCGGCGCGGGGCCCCCTCCCTGGCGCGGGGAGCGCGCCAGGGGCGGCGCCAGAGGCGCCGCCGGGGGGCCCCAGCGCCGATCCGAGGAATCCGCGCAGACCTCCGAGGTTTTATGTTTATGCCATCACTGGTTCCCCATACAGCAGCAGCGGAGGCCGAGGTCCTCGTTTGCCGCGGCGGCGTCCAGCCAGCCGCGGGGCGCGCGCGGCGCCGCGCGCTCGTGCAGCGTACTCGTGCAGCGCGCTCATGTGCGGACCTCGCTGCCGGCCGCCACGCCGCAGGCTGGCGCTGCGTCGCCGCGGCTCGCGGAGGCTGGCGGCGGGGGCAGGCAGGACCGCGGAGGGCCGCGCTCGCCGTGCTCTGCAAAAGGCGTTCCTTGCCCCCCTCCGCAGCAGGTCCGCGCCGCGGGTGGCGCGGCGGCTGCCCTGGCGCGGGCGTTCAAGTTGGAGCGCCTCCGGCCTGGAAGTTGCCGACATCGAGCGATGGGCCCAGGCTCTTGGCGTTCTCCACCTACTGCCCAGCGACGGCCGACGATGTCGGTGGGCGGCGTCGGCGGCGACGACACCGACATCCGGCGACGATGGAGACAGACTGCCGACGGCGGCGGAGGCGACGGCGAAGGCGGCGGCAAATGCGACGGCGGTGGGGCCGCGACCACTCAAGGATTAGAAGGGTCCACGCGGTCTCAGAGACCAACGCACAAGACGTCACGACACGAAGTTGCCGTACTCCTTCGAGCGGGTTGCCCTCCCCGCGGCCAAACGTTTCTTAGATGCTGCGACATCCAAATGACTCACAGAAGCATGGACTTCTTGACGCCTCACGCATCCCCACCAGCGCATCCAGAAACGATCTCTCCGGGCAAGGTGTCCTGATCACGGAAGCTTAGGAAATCAGAGCAATGCAGAGAGGCACAGCTGCCGCCCTCTCTCGTTTGCCCATTCCCAGTTTGCACGTTGTCCGGCAAGCCGACCGTCCTCCCTACTGGTCTGTTCCTGGTTCTCTACCCTGTGACAGCGGAGAGGCGCGAAGAAAGACCTGATGACAACCACGGCCTCCGATTCTTGGGCATATTTGGGGGCTCGCTTGCGGCCTCTTTTGGGCCGTCGTGGACAAATTCGGGGTACCGTCGATGTAAAAAGTGGATCTTGAGTGGCCGGCGCCCTCCGGATGCTTTCTCGAGTCCCTCTCGGGATGTTTTCGGGTCCTCGTCCTCCCCGTCTTCCTCCTCATTCCTCGCTCCCTCCTTATCACGTTGCTTCGTCTCACTTGAGACGTGCGCACGACTTACTTGTGATTTTGAAACGTGACAATCGCAACAAATTGTTCTGTCTGGGTATAGCGCCGCGCGTATTCGTCTTAAGAGTCCGTATTCAGAAATATGTTTTTTTTCATTACCTCATATTCGTTTGACAGTGTTGCAGCGAATTCAGGGATGGAGGACGGTTGATTTTTGACATTTGGTTATCGCGCCCATTTTTGTCAAAAACCGAAACAGATGATGGGTTGATGGGTTAGAAAAGGGATGATGTGCTCCAATATTTGCAATAGTTTTGCGGAGGGAGGTCGGCTCGTACGTTCGTCGGACAAAGCTACAGCAGTTCAAGGATCCATATTTTTAAGTCCCAGACAGGGTCTTTGGCATGATTTGACGCTATCAGAAAATAGCAACCACGTTGGTTCGCATCGTTGGAATCGTTCAAACTGATTTCTGACACGTTTTAGATATTGTCAAGACGCAATGCATGAATCACGTTGATCCGGGGCGTTTAGAATCCGTGAACGATGTTTGGGCGCGATGGGAGGTTCCCAATGGTTGTAGAATAGAGCAGGGTATGTCTCTATGAAAATGCATGCACGCGCAGCGGCGAGCCTCCACTTTAGAAACATATTGAATACGTAGTGCCAGGATCGTTGGATTCAGACTCTCTCCGCGCGCTTCAGACTTCCGCCCTTGGGGTGTATCGGGCGCCCTTCTCGCCGTCATCCGTCGTCTATTGGGGTCAATTTGGAGCCATCGCGGGGTCGCATTGGAATGGCAGGATCTCAAAATCGGTCCGCGGACTCCCCCAAGTGTCCAAATGCACAAATTTCCCGAGCTGCGTCCAGCCATGGCGACGAGGAGGCCCCTCGATGGCCACCTGCCGTTGCCTCAGTTGGCCCGTCTCTGACCATCCTTCAACCTCAGCATTGTCGACAACAGCTCCGACGGCGGCTACCAGCACTGTCGACAACGGTTCCAACAACGGCTCCGAAGGCGGGCCGTGGTTGAAAGACTTGGAGCTTATTTGGGTATGGCTCTGCTGGGTCTGTTGGTCCGCGTTGCGGGCCCGAGAATTGTATCAAAGCCGCATTGGTGCCAAGTGCATTCCCAGGAGATGTCAATGTCCGATTTGCGTGGTTGAGTCCCTCTTCAAGTCGAGTCGTGCCATGCGCCGGACCGCGTGGACACAAGGCCAAACAGTGCGCCTGTTCTGTCCGCTTTGCGGGGGCGGCGTTGCGCCAGCACGATGATTAATCCGTAAGGGCTTCTCCCCCATGCCGCCGGCCCCCCTCTCTTAGAACGGGACTTGCCAGAGCTGTAATGTCTGGACGCTAACGTGAAGCAGTGTTGGGACTTCACGCGAGGGCCAATATTAATTTACGAGGGTTTATGGCTTCGGTGGCGCGAATATGAGGTAATCTACGATTGTGTATGGCTTCGGCGACGCGAGTATTGCGTACGCAAAGATTGCATAATGTACGACGGTCTATGGCCTTGGGGGCGCAAATATTGTATAATTTACAAAGGCGTATGGCCTCGGGGACGCGAACATTGTTTAATTTGCAAGGGTTTGTGGCCTCGGGGACGCAAGCATCGCATAATTTACGACGGTTTATGGTCCTGGGGACGCGAATATCGATTAATGTTCTAGGGTTTCTGGTTTCGGGGGCGCGAATATTCTGTAATGCACAAGGGCTTATGGCTTCAGGGGCGCGAGCGCGGTGTAATTTACACGGGTGTATGGCTTCGGGGGCGCGAACATTGAGTAATTTACGAGGGATCGTGGCTTCGGTGACACGAATATCGTATAAGTTACGATAGTTTATGGCCTCGGGGACGCGAATATGGCGTAATATACTATGGATTATGGCCTCGGGCGCGCGAATATCTTGTATTTTTACTTGTCCCACGACCCCCATCGGGAATTCAGACGACGCGATTCGGGGACGCTAGCCAGGACGTTTTTCGGTTACCAGCCCTCGCGCGTTCAGCAGTAATTAACAGTAAGGGAGCCGAAAGCAGGACTGTAACAGTGGAAACTGGAAACTGCAATTGGCACAGGGAGCTGCACGCCTAATCATCGCAGCCTGATGGCCCCGCAAGGGAGCCGACGGTTTTACATCGTTTGCTTCTGGGTGGAGGCGAAGGACAAGGAAAGGGGGAAGGCTGAGTTCCCCTGCTTCTGCGAGTTGATTCCCTTGTCGCATCATCATCAATAGTATGTCTCTTATATTGCCGATTACTTTACTGACGCCTTTCTTCGTAAAGTGTTCGTTTGTTGGTAGACCAGAAGAATATCGAATTCCCCACGGTCAGAAGTAACAACATATTTCTTGAGCTTTTGCATTGCCGCATCTCCTCTGGGTGACATGCGCAGGAGAAACATCCGGGTAGACGCATGAAAAAGTTCGACTCAACGATGCAAACCCGCTCCCAAACCTAATTTCAGGATGTGTACGTGGTTCACGGAAACGAATGCAATGTGATTGCAAATAGAATTGCAGCATGTTTGAAATACGGTGGTGTTGAGTGGTAAGGGGGCGATGGCACCCACGAAAGTTTTATATCCACGATGGGGAGTCCCGGTACTACTTCCGACGACCACAGCATCTCCGACAATAGTCCCGACAACGTACAATACATGGGAGTTCCCCAAGTCAGCAGGCGTCAATCACCGCACGGGGCTTTTTTCCTTATGAATAGTTTCTCCCTGTCGCACCCCAGAGCAAGTTTTTAGGGCGGGCCGGGCGTTTCGCCTGAGGCTTTTCCACCATGTACGGCCCTGAAGCTGAAAAGTTGGCAACGGCTTCGCAGATGGAGGACGGGTCGTTTTCAAAATATGGTTTTCGCTTCAACGCGCTGCGCACATTCGTTCTCAGAATTTGCTAGAATTTCACGGGTTGAGGGCGGGCCGTTTTCAAAATGTGGGTCTCGCATTAGCGCCGCGTACATTCGTTTAAAAATGTAAGAGCTTCAAGAATTGAGAGCGGCTCCTTTTTCAAAATGTGGTTTCCACCCCAACACCGCGCATATTCATGTTGCTCCTTTGCAAGAATTTTACGGATTTCCAGGATAAACGTACCAGAGAGGGCGTTTTGGACGGATTTGGGGCCCTGAGGGCGCAACAGCTACGTTGATTCACAGCGTTGGATCCCGAGAATGGCGTTATGGCACGATTCAGGATCTTCAAAACGCATTAGTCCAGTTGATCCAGGGCGATGGAATCCCGAGAACAATATTCTGGCATGCGTCAGGGTCTTCGAACGGTTGTCTTCCAACGAGGCATATCCCGCAGTGAATATATGAACCGAGGGAGCTTGGAGGGAAGGTCCATGCTAACATCGTTGATGACTCTTGGGTTCACTCTGGATATCCTCTTCCTCATCCTCTTCCTCCGACGTTTCGCGGCGGCTGCGCAGGCGGCACCACGGCGAGCACATGGCGAACAGGTCGCCCGTGGCTGGAGGCGATGCAGGCGGCGGCGCGGGTGCAGCCCCCTGGCGCCAGCCGCAGGAAACGCCTGCAGGACCGTGGGCACGTTTCGCCACCAAGGCGCGCGGCTTCAAGAACAACTTCGCCAGGCGGACGACCTGCTTCAAATGTGGGCGCGCCGAGGACGGGAGGCGGTTTCAGAACAGGACACCGTCGAAGACCCCGCGTGGTCATAGCGCTCGTCCTGTACGTGACGGGGCTGGCGAGGCCGCCGTTCAGGCCTGCCCTCAGAGGTCGGGCGCTGCAGGAGGGCGGTGCAGTCCTCGTCGCCTCCACTACGACGACCCCCACGAGCTCATGCGCATGGCCGTGGAGGAGATCCGCCGGGCAGCGGGGGCGAGAGGTCATGGAGCTCGACGACATTTTGCGCAGCGCGTCCGACAGGCTGACATAAAAGAGGGTGGGGCAAGAGAAGCTGGCGCAGCATATCAGCAATCTCGAACAGCAGTTGGCAGAGGCCAAGACCAAGCATGAGACCGTCGGCAAGGCGATCTCGATGCTCAACGCGGAGGTGGCGAGGGCGAAGGCAGCCGTGGCCAGTGCAGCACCCGCAAACCATATTCAGACCATGTCGGCAGCAGTTCAAGGGCCCCAGGACAACATCATGG